TTTTACACATTTTGATTTTGATTAGGGAGCTCATCTTTATGACACAACCCTCCATCGGCTCAGGAGATCAAGAAAATGCAGAGATGGAGGGTGGGCGTTGTATATAAACTCATCTCTTTACATCTCCCAAGTTTCAGTTAGTTCCTTCCTCACCAAACGAACACTGTTGTTTCTGAAACGTAGAATTAGGGCTGGGTGCGTAGCTTTCCGAGGTTATGTGAGAAGATAGGCCTCCACGTGCCATTACATGCTGTCTGGAAGGCACCCAGTGAACCAGTGGGCGTCTTTCTGTGTGGCCCCTCCCACTTCTGTGTCAGCTCTCAGAACCCAAATTCAGAATAAAAAAAAAAAAGAATAAAAATCAAGAAACGGATTTATGTTATTTTTCATGAAGAGCACATGCATAGTTATCATATTTGTCAATGTTAGTAGAGGTGGGAGGGTAACACGACAATCAGAATCAGAATCATTTTAATTAGCCAAGCACGTTTCCATACAAGGAATTTGCCTTGGTGGTGATTTACAAGACATTACAAAAAAGGACATTACAAAGAACATTAAACGTTTATCAAAGGCATATACAGAAAAGTAAACCACTAGATTAGTTTCGGGGTAGTATATAACAATTAATCATAATAATAGTAATAATGATATAATTAAATATGTAATTATATATGCTTGTACATATGTATGTATATGTATATATGTATTATGACGCATACATCACGTATTATTAATTTCCTCCTTTACACAAAGCCTGCAGTTTGGTACGCATATCATTTTGCCTCAGGCATATTTCGGGCTTTGCATGCCACACAATGGGTGGTAATTTGTTACATTAACTGACACCATTACTAGGTGGGGACTCAGTGACCTTTGCCCTTCCTATGTCATCTTACCACTGGTTTATATCACCCTGTTTTTCATTCTTTCCAACCGGCAGCGCCACTCTAAAGCACATTCATTTTTCAAGGTGGTGCACCTAACCCTATGACTAAGACATGCCCTACAAACATAGCCTGACAATCTGAAGATCCATTTTTATTCCTGCATCACAGACGAGATGTATCAGGCTAAGGAGATACGACTATGCTTAATCAGTATGGTTAATTTGTGAAAGATGATGTGGACGTAATGATTTTTTTTCTTGCTATGTGTTTTGTAGAACAGTTGCTTGTAGAACAAAACACACAGCCCTGTAAACACGTTGTGGTGGATCGCCATCTAGTGGCGGAATTGCGTTTGACCGCTTCAATGCTTAAATGGCAACGTGTTGGTAGAATAATTCTTTGAATATCTCTTTATTCAGCACAGCGGAGCCCAGTGAGTGCGCTGGGCATGTTTGGTATATTGTAAATAACCCCGGTGTGTTATTGTAAATACTTCTGTTTCCTTTTGTCGCGTGTGTCTTTGCCCGTGTTGTTTGTGAATTCGGTCCGACCCTCGCGTGTCATTAACCGATGTGTAATTTACCCACCGTGCGTGTCCGACCTCCCCGTACTTTGTGTTGTTTGATGTTTGCAGGGTGTATGTGGTAGTTGTGTTAAAGGATTACGGAAAGGGCGTTGCTGTTCTTGCATTGAGAAATAGTGTCTGTTTTTAACGGCTGCTGTCACGCTTCGGTCTGCCTGCCTGTTGTATTGTGTTTGGTTAGCGTTTTTTTTTTCTTAATAAACCACTTCAGGAGTCTGCTACTTGCGGCTCTTCTCAGAACAATAGTTGCATTCACATTTTCATGTCTTAAATGGTATATATGCTTTCCGGAGTTTCCTTTAGTACCTGAGATTGGATGTACGCTTCAACATTTATTGGAATTCCTAATTCTTTCGTATATATTTTTTGTAGTAAATTGTCAAAACGCCTTCCAGCTCTTCGTAAAAATTATTATATTTCCTCCGATTTAAAACTGAGAACGGGGATTTAAAACTGAGAAATAAAAACGCTCACCTTTTAATTTCATTTGAAATGATCTAAATATACTTTAAGTCTTTAAGTAAAATGCACAAAAAGAATGCAAAAATTGCATAATGTAATGCACTTATGTCTACTGTTTTATAAGTATTTCTGTAGATGTATTTGAATACAGCCGGCTTTAGCGCATGCGTACTGACGAGTTCCTCACTTCCGCTTTCAACTTTGACACATGACTGAAGGATCCTCATAACAGTGAAAAATTTGGCGTTTCTTTTATACATTAACAAGTAAAATGACTAAAGAAAATTTATGTGTACAGTTCCTGAAGTAGGTGATGCGGCGTGTCGCAGAGCGCCTTGAGTGGAATGACATCGCCTCGGCTCCCGTGATTATTAAGCAGTAAATAGTAGTCCCACTCATGCAAAATGGAGGATTGTTTTGAATCTCCAGATTCCTCCTCTGACGATCATCGTCGCCCTTTGCTGCACCGTAGTGACAGCTGTAAAGTTGAACACGGTGAGTATGAAGAAAACATTCAGCCTAATTAAGTGCACTCGGCGTTATGTGCCTGATACATTGGTTCGGCTTTTATCAGTTCATTCGGACAGTTAAGGTATGTAGTAGATTTTGGCCACATTTCAAAATAAAAGTATGATTGGAAAAATAAAACAATTTAGTAACTTACTTATAACTTGCAGTTAAATGACGGCCGGTCTTAGCCAGCAGTTATTAGGTACCGTCCCCTCGATGCTTATTAATACATATTTTATAGTATGGCACCATACAGCAATCTTTATCTCTACAATTATGTGAATTGTGAGTGTTGCCTTTGCGTATTTTTGTCGATACACTCTCAGAAAAAAAGAGTACCAGTTTTTACCTTTGCTTATTACTGGGGCTGTACCCTCAAAGATCTGCCAATTGTACCCTTAACTCCTGTAATTGTACCTTTTGAGGTACAGAAATTTCTGTATCACTGATGGTACATTAAATGCTGTATGTACCTTTGGGATATTCCTCAGAGTACATTTCTGTCCTTAAAAGGTACAATTACAAAGGTTCAGCCCCAACGACAAGCAAAGGTACAAACTGATACACTTTTTTTCTGACAGTGAGTATCGATATTCACTCAGCTCAGAGGTTTACAGCATTAAGCATTTCTGTTTATGTCAGCAAGTTTCTTTAAGTTGTTCTCCCTTTTGCATTCAGCTAACTTGTTTAAATTTTGTGAAATCAGGAAATGTTGATGTGCAAGGCAAACAGTGCTTTTACTATGAAAAGTAGTACAGTATTTATACCCATAGATTTTGGGCCCCCAACCCAGACCAGTTCAGTGATGTTCCAGGTCTTTCAGAGGCCCTTGTAATTTACCCCCTCCCTTTACTCTGCCCCTGTTTCTAACATGACAGATCATAAAGTCCGTAGGAACTATATAATAAACAGTCCATACATTTTACCAACCTCACATCCAGAACAGGGTGGGGGTTAGGAGAGTGCACTGATTACAGCACCTTGGCACCCCCACCACACGACAAACCACCTCAGGGATGAGAACCTGAGCACAGCCATGTGGCAGGTGATACCTCAGCACCACACTAGTCCAAATGGACCAGTGTGAGGTTTTCTTCCGGTGGCTGGAGTGCCAATCCTGCCATCAACCCCCAAGTTATTCCCAGTAAGTTGCAGGACCTCCTTGCAGAGCTGGATGTAGATTAACGTCACACCCAGGATGAAGCAGTTGCAGGTTAAGGGCCTTGCTCAAGGGCCCAATGGAGTAGAATCACTCTGGGCATTCACGGGATTTGAACCAGTAACCTTCCAGTTGCCGGTACAGATCCCTAGCCTCAGATCCACCACTCCGTCTACTGTAGGTTTATAAGACATTTGTGAAAAGTAGTAAAAAGACAGAACGGCACACATATTACTCAATATATCAAAATAACGAAAATTAAACACTATCCTACACAGCCTGTTTTTTTCCATATTTGTTGTACAGTACTGCTTATTCAATGTAATCCTACTGTAATTCGCCCAACCAGATTAAATTTATTTCCTGACTACAGAGCATCCAAAATCTAAATGCTTAATCATTTTAATTTTCATAGCAGAATTTTCTGTAAAACTATATTAATAATGTGAAACATTCTGCCAAAACACCCTCAAAAACTCAGGTGCTTTTGACAGTTTCATTCCATGTTTTGAAAGTTGCTTAGGTGTCTAAAGCTACAGGCTTTTGTTTTTAGAAAACATCTACGGGTGCTTGGTATCCCTGCCTAAGAAAAATGAAACATCAGATGAGTCACTGGAATTTCACATCTAGTCATGTTTATTGATGGGTGGCAGCATCTCTATTTAACTGCTAATATTTAACTGATCGCTACCAGTATGCCCATGTGAACAACGAATCATCCAAGGCCACCAAAGTCACATATGATGTCCCACAGGGATCAGTACTGGGCCCACTACTGTTTACCCTATACATGCTACCTCTTGGTAACATTATTAGAAATCATGGTGTTGGGTTTCATTGTTATGCAGATGATACACAGTTATATATATATATCTGTTAACCCTGATGATACATCACTCCTATCTCGGTTAGAAGATTGTCTGTTAGATATCCGGTGCTGGATGGCAAAAAATTTCTGGTGATTGGTCCCAAGGCTGCAAGAAATACGTTGCACCACCTCAGCATTAGTGGTCTTCCTACACAACCTAACACGGTGGTTAGAAATCTTGGTCTTCTAGTTGATTCAGATCAATGTTTTGATGCTCACATAAGAAGTATTACTAGAACTGCGTTTTTTCATCTATGGAACATAGCCAAGCTTCGTAAGATGCTCTCACTTCGTGATGCAGAAAAATTAATACATGCCTTCGTAACTACCAGACTAGACTACTGTAATGCCCTCCTTTCTGGTTGCCCGTCTGGATCCTTACATAAACTTCAGCTGGTACAGAATGCAGCAACCAGAGTTCTCACAAACACTAAAAAATTTGATCACATTACACCAGTCTTATCCTCCCTTCATTGGTTACCAGTTAAGTTTCAGATTGACTATAAAATACTGCTATTAACTTATAAAGCACTGAATGGCCTTGCACCAGAATACCTAAGTGATCTGCTGACCTCATACAACCCCCCACGCTTTCTTCGTTCTCAAGGTGCGGGACATCTGTTAGTACCTAGGGTAGAAAGAGCTACGGCAGGCTGCAGAGCTTTCTCCTATAGAGCTCCTCAGCTGTGGAACGGTCTTCCACCGGATGTGCGGATTTCAGGCTCACTCTCAGTATTCAAGTCTAGACTAAAAACACACCTATTTAGTTTAGCTTATAGGGACACTAGTTCTAGCTCTAGCTAGCTTCTCACTCCCAGTTAAACCTATAGTGTGAGGTGTAGAGCTGGGTGGGGATCGGTGCCATTGGCTTTGGATAAACTGAATTGACAGTGCTGTCACTATAGCTTCACAATCGCTTGTGGGATTGGAGTGCTGACATTTCAGGGACTCCCCATGCCTGCATTCCCACCTGCCTCTCCCTCCTACTTATGCTGCCATAGCCATATCTGCCGGAGCATTGCACTTCATATTGCACTCATCTAACTGTTAGCACTGCCTATAGCCTCCCCTACTTCGACTAATTGCATATTTTATTTCCCCTACTTCTCCTGGGGGGTGCTGTCTGGAGCCCTCAATCTATCAAGATGTCCAGCACACCCTGCTACATGTGACGTCGCCTCTACCAATGACGTCCGTGCATCCAGCTTGCCGTTCTGCCTGTGTCATCTTCCTTGTATGACCCGCTCCCTGCCTTCTGGCTGCCCGGCGATTTGAGGGAGCATTGGCACCGGCTTGCCATCTCCCCCCTGCTCCCTGTTTGTGTCTCCAAATTTACTGTATTCGAGGATGGGCTCCCCCTTTGAGTCTGGTCCCTCCCAAGGTTTCTTCCTTCTAGGGAGTTTTTCCTTGCCACTGTCGCCTATGGCTTACTCACTGGGGGCTTTGGGTGGGGATGCTGTAAAGCGCTTTGGGACGATGTAATGTGATAATGCGCTATACAAAAATAAATTTGTTTGTTTGTTTGTTGTATTTCACCCTGTATGTCTGTTTCAGGAACTTCAAAGTGATTGATTTCGTTGAAGCTTCTACTTTATGGCTTTGAGTGATTTTAATTGTGGGCTGCTTTTCCCATAATCCTCCAGCTCCTGCCTGCTGTTCCTCGCGCTACAACCTGGCCCTGCTCTCCTGCTATGGCTTCGTCGTGGCCTATGCTCTGCGCGTCAACCTCAGCGTTGCCATGGTGGACATGCTGGACGTCAAAACGAACAGCAACACCAGCTCCTCCGTGTGCCCCATGCAGGAGGGACGCGCCGAGTCCAAACGCAACCACACGGTTGGTGAATGTTTTATTACAGCTTGTGTCCCAAGCCCAGAACTCCACTGGTGTTTAAGACACCTGCAGTCAAAAGTTTGGAAACACACACCTAACCATAGAAATGTGTATTTGTACTGTTCTCTGCATTTACATTTTTGAATAATTATAAAGACGTCAGAAATATAAAATAACAAAAATGGAATTATGCACTGAACAAAAAAGTATTAAACCAAAAAAAAATATTTGTTGGACCTGTAGCTGTGTGAGTTGGGATTCAGAAGGTTGCCGATTAAAATCTCTGGGTCAGCAGAGTGATACCACAATTGGGTGCCGTGAGCAAGGCCCTTAACCCCAAACGCTACAGGAACCGGCTGACCTTACTGTCTCCTCCCCTCACCAGTTTCATGAGGAGGTCAACTAGAATGCTTTTCCAGCTGTCCTAAAGCAGGTCCTATATATACTGAGCACTCATTGGTCGCTTTTCCTTCACTCTCTGGTTAGACTCCTCCAAAACCATTTCCACTGTTTTTCGGTCAGGTGACCAGGTCATGTGATGTAACACTATCAGTTTCTTTTGTAGGCAGATTGGCCTGATCATTTTTTAGTTGGACCTGTGTATCCAATACAGCCCTTCTCATAGTTACAGAAGAGTTGCAGTATCTTTTTTACATTACACTTAGAAATCTGAACCTGAAACATTCCCAGCCCTCAGTGGTGTATATTTTGGTATGGACAGTAGGGACATTTTGTGTGGACAGAGTAAACCACATCACCTTTCAGCTTTTACTCTCTCTTTTCCTTGTCATCTCCCATTTGCTCCTTCATACTCTAGCGCAGATTTACTCCCCAAGTGCTCAGAGTGAAAATTGCAGCTATGAAATTATCCTTGATTTATGCCATTTGCACAAACACAAGTACAGGTACATTGGGTTGTGTCTCTTCACCTACCCCACCTTGCTCTCCATGAGACACACAGACTATTGTACAGGTGAAAGTAAGCTGGGGGGGGGGGGGGGGGGGGGTCACAGTGCAGGATCAGCCAGCGTGCAGTGACCCCTGGAGCTGCAGCTTAAAGGCCTTACTCAAGTGCCCCCGGACTGTTTTGCGGAGGCTAGGCCCTGAAATGACGACCTTCCAATCACAGACACAGAGTCTTAGCCCACTGAGCCACACACCGAGTAACCGTAACTAAGAACTCTGCAGTTCTACACGCATATTCAAAGCTGCAGAGGTTTAAGGGGAGGCTCTAGTGAGATAGTAACAGCACAGTGGTGGTTCTGTGGCCCTCAGGCACCTGTGTACGACTGGAACTCGGAAACGCAAGGGTGGGTCCTGGGCTCCTTCTTCTATGGCTACATCGTGACCCAGTTACCTGGCGGATACCTGGCGCGAAAGTATGGCTCCAAGTGGCTTCTGGGCCTGGGCATCCTGTGCACTGTCTTATTCACTCTGCTCACTCCGCTGGCCGCCAGCCTGGGAGCCCCGTATCTCATCGCCGTGCGAGTTCTGGAGGGCGTCGGAGAGGTACGCTCACCTCGTCGGCCTGCTCGTGTCTGTCCATCGATCTGTTCCCTCGTCAGTTCCTGACCTGTGTGTCAGCCGCCCATCAGAATGTCCCTAAATGAACTGGACAGGGAAGATATGCAAGCATTTAAGGAAATGTCTCCGTAACCTGAAATTCTTAAGTCAAGCATTTCAACCCCCAAATGAAAATACCAGGGTAAGGACCCCGTAATACCTGATCGCTTAATGAACTTTGGACCAGCTTTGATATTTCTTTTTGTGGCTCTGACTTCAGAAGAAGTTAAATAGCTGTAATATTTGTAAGTTGAATAGCACATGAACAGAAAGTGAGTGTGTCCGGATCCTTATATGGCCATACAGCTAACTCAGAAGTACTGATTGGTTTGTTTCCTGGTGACCTTCAGGGGGTAACGTTTCCTGCCATGCACGCAATGTGGGCGTCTTGGGCCCCGCCCCTGGAGAGGAGCCGCCTGTTAACTATCTGCTATACAGGTGCCGTGTGACTGTGCGTGTGTGTGTGTGTGTGTGTGTGTGGGGGGGGGGGGGGCAATGCCTGCCTTGTCATCTCTGTACTTTTTGGCTATTTTGACTGTACACAGCATTAAAATAATGCTACAAATCCACAAGTATATGCAGTATCAGTCAATTTAATACAAATCATATGACTGGTGTCTTGTGATTTAATTTTTCAGATATATGAAATTTGAAATAGGTACACATTTAAAAATAATGTGACTTGTATATACTGAGTTCTCTGTGCTTTGCTAAAAAACACACTGTAATGTAGAATATATGTATATATTGTTCTACTAAATCAGTTTACCTGTTATAACCAATATTTTCAATTTCTCATCTACCCAGGTTCCCAGTTAGGTACAGTGTTGGCCCTTCCCTTATCTGGTCTGATTTGCTTTTACCTGGACTGGACATATGTTTTTTACCTCTTTGGTAAGTTTCTACCCTTTACTTTGTTATTATTAGTGTGAATGGAGCTGAATTCACCTTTTTCGAGGGTTTTTGGTCGGTGCTGGAGGTGGAGGTTGCTGGGGGTGTTTTTGACGGTGGGAGGGCCGATCCGGGTTTTCAGGGGCCTGTCCCGGCATCCGCAGGTGCCGTCGGGCTGCTGTGGTTCTTGCTCTGGTCGTGCCTAGTGAGCAACACCCCAGACACACACCGGACGATCTCAGAGAAGGAACGGCTCTACATCACGACGTCTCTGAAGAACGAGGTAAAGAGGGATGCAGACTGTACCCCAAAGAGGAAAGACAACACAACCTGAACCGCATCCGCAATGAAAGTCAAGCATGTCCCAGTGACTTTGATTATTCTGTTAATTTACATAGCCATTTACATCAGGACTAGGCGCGCATTTTCCCACCTAAATATTAAATTAATATGAGAAATCATTGCCTGTCACTTTTTATATGTTTTCGAAACAATATGACTGCCCATACCAAAATGTAACAGCGGTTAAAATGATCTGTTCTTTTTGTATTTAATGTTACAGCAAGGCTTTAATTTCATTGCCTGTGTTGGATTATGATTAATTTAACAAGATTAGTCTATTGAAAATAATACTTAAAACGACCCTTTTGATCCAGATCATTTTCGTTGTTGTTTAGGTCGTTCCTACACCAATGAACGTCAGACTCCTTTAACTGCCAAACAAGGTGCGTTGCTAGACAAAAAAAAGCCCCCCCCCCCCCCATTGCTCAAGGCTGTTTATTGAATATCTTGGATTGAGTTTCTTGGACATCTTGGATTAGGAAAACATTCACTGGGGTACCGCAGATCAATACTGGGGCACATGCCCCGGTAAAAGGGGTCTAGCAATGCCCAAGGGATCACATGAAATAATATAATATATACAAATTAGTAATAGTGCTTGTACTTATACTATATCTTTAATATTGTCTCTCGTGTAGCTGTGTCTGTCTGTAATCTCGCCTTCCTCGCAGTGACTTTGTGCATCCTGGGGCATAAGATGGTTTGTATTTTATATGAAAAGATCTTGATAGGAAATTTGGGGGGGTTAATTTCCCAAACGTGAAAGTGCCCCTCCCTCCGCGCCTTAAAGTCACAGTGCTCAAATATATTGTGAACATATATGGATGGATGGATATCCAACTGTAAAAAAGCATCCATAATCCATCAGTTGTACATAAACATCTGTGTCATCGATATGAACATTATTCACTGACAGTAACTTAGTCTTTCCCGTTTATAGTGGCACCATATCATATAAGGTGGCCCAAGTATTATATGCACATTTTTACATTCTCGGGGTCCCCCCCCAACCATCACCAGTGTGAAGGAGTTACTGTAATTTCACTGAAGCACACAAAACTGCACAGTGCAGTGTATCTAAGGCTAATTATGATATTTCTGAAAACGTATGCAAATTTATGCAAACTAAATGTCTTCAGACTTGTTTTCTTTCAAAAATTTGGTTAATTACTACATAAAAGTTTGATCTGTGCTCCATTGTGTTTTTTTGTACAGGAGAATTGTGTGTAGTTTTTGACTAGAAATGGTTAGTTCGGGTATACAGTGATATTTCATGATTGATTTCTTTGTTAGATTTTGTTTGGCAACGGATTGCACAGTTTGCACTTTAATGAATGTTTCTGCTAATTTGTGTGATCGCTGGTACTGAATTAAGCTAAGAAGCAGATTTGTGCACATCTCCTTCGCCTGGGATTTTTTTCCTGTAGTGTAGTGACGTAGCTTTTGTTTTGAGCAACATGACAATTATATTTTACTATTTTTAGCAAACTCCAACGATATCTGCATTTAGTGTTGTAGCGGTAGTTAGTTGAAATTAGGGGTGGCACGGTTCACAAAACCCACGGTTCGGTTTGTATCACGGTTTTAGGGTCACGGTTTTCGGTTCTGTACGGTTCTTGTTATTTTTTCTTTTAATCTTTAACACTCCAGAAATGTACTTCAGCATATGATATATAGCTTAATTATCCACAATTTAGGATACAGTATTAAAAAAGCTAGCCTATATCATGTAATCATGCATAAACTGAATTTGACTTGACTTAAAGCAC